GTATACCATTAGCCATTGCTGAGCTTACCCCTTATAAAATTTCGTTGGACAGACAGACAGACAAATATTTTTTAAAAGTAGATTTGGTCTCTATAATGTATCAAACAGGAAGATATCACAAAACGGGTTGATTGTATTCAATGTACAGACAAAACCTTTATTTTATTTATACAGATTATTTACGTTAGATTTCAATAAATAAAATTGATCATCAGGAATTAAATATCATAATTAACTAATGTAAAGTTTAATATCATGAGATTCCTTCTTTTTTTTCAATTACAATACCTTTGAATGAGAAATTGTAGCAAATTAATTCTAATTTAGTTTCTTTACCGTGATTCATAGTTGTTTCTGGACCTAAAGAAAATATTTGAATTACCTTATTTTACGAATCTTATTCTATGGTTTGTCCAGTTTCCTGAATAAAGAAGTTTAATATAATAAGAAATTGATACTAATAGCAATAACCGTTGTTAAGATGAAACCAATAAAATCCGAAAGACGTGTACTTCATGGGTTAATATCCGGCGAAAGTGTTGTACTTGTCGATAATTGCACATATCATGGTTAAATGTGTCATAAAATGATATTCATCTCATATATAGAAATATAACATGTAATATTCATAGCACATGTAACTTACACAGTAATATGTAACACCTAAACCCCAATACGTAGAAACATTTCGTTACGCCTCACTGTGGACTCACATGAGCTAAAAAATTATTTTTTTATAAACCTAAAAGCTAGATAAATTGATACGTTATGTAGTTGATGAGAATATTTTTTTTTAGCAGAATGAACATTTTATACCGTTTTTAGTAAATAGCTCAATTGAAAATCTAGTTAATTTTTGGATTTTTGCGTAATTGATAGGTTTTGTAAATTTTCTTAGTTCGAGCTGATGGTTAATAATTTTTCCTTGAAACTTTATACACTTTTTACTGTCATTATGCTTAATTAAAAAAATATATAATCATTTCTAAAACTTGTTTTACTACGAATATTTTTTTTTATCATATTAACAAAAATAGGTGTTTTTAAATCATTTTTTTACAAACACTATGATCGAAAAAATCCTCTGATATCATCCGGAAAAATTGATTTCTAACAACTTTTTACCAGTCATTGATAAAGATAAATTCGTATTCGTTTAAACCGCCGTGGTCCATTCGAAGGTAGTTGAAATATATTTAAAATTATTTTTGTATGTATAAATGTTCGAACAATTTCTAGGTATGTACTAATATCTCCTATAACTAGACATGCTCTCAAATTTAGTTTTAAGAATTGTATTGCACATAAAGAAAATAAGGTTCTGTAGTTATTTGTTTCGAAAAATACCTCAAACCAAAACAATAAAAAAAATATACATTAAATATTTATTTGCATTGTTTTAAATTTTTAATTTTGTCTACTTAGATAAAAATTAAAATTTTATAATATTCTTTTAACTGTATAAAACCATCCTTCATTTTCGCTCTAATCTAAATAAATAAACAAACACATCACCGTTAAATGAACTCAAGTTTAAAATAAAATAAAAGGTAGGATCAATGGGATACCCGTATAAGACGGCCTCAAGGAAAAAAAAACAACTTTTATTTACTTGTTCCACTAAGATTACTGTATGTTAGTAATAAAATATACTTGTTTTCAATCTCTAACCCTTATTCTTTTTAAATTTCGTTATAATTTCATCAAAGTAAATTGAATCTGAGAGTATTTGTTTGAACCTTTACGATTTGATCTGCATCAGTTGTTGTCAATATAATGTTTAAAATTAATGAAAAAATCACCTATTCTTTTCATTGGAAAATGTTCGAAAGTATCGATGGTCTTCAAAATATCATTATCGATGGTTTTTAAATTTTTTTGTGATAAAAATAAAATAAATGTTTATTATTTCATAAGAACTATTATAAAATGAATATTTAGAATAAATAAACGATACACTTTTGAAGTTATTACATATACATATATTATAATTATATTTTGTGATTTATTATTTTTAAAATTTAAAAAAAAATATTAAAATAACGGTTATATGTAGTAATATAGACAGTAGTTATAAACAGATATCTAAAATTATGAGGTCTCTATTATTTTCGAAGTTAATAGTCAAATTTAAAAATTCTCAGGTTTAAATAAAGAAACCGATTTTTTTTTTCGTGAAAATTTTCTAATTTTGACTTCATGTTCGTGTTTCTTGGAATAGAAAACATAAGTGTGCTAAATACCAAGTTAATCCGACATCATTTACGAGTTCTATGCCCATGTCCACGAAAACCCGTCTATCGTCCCACTGTGCGCCTTCAATTTCAATAAATACTACACCATGCTATACAGAATCCGTCGTAACTATTTACAAAACAAATAATATAAACAGTCCACATTTCACTCATTACTTTTTCATCCTTGATAAGCCTTGGTTTGAATTAGTTGAGGGGAGATATATTTGTTAATAATTGCCCATTTATTTTCATTATTTACCTATCCAAATTTTAAAAATCGTTATTTTTAACCAACATTTTTTACAGATAAATACATTGTACAATATTTATATCGTGCGGAATACTTCTGATATCGTATAAAACGGGATAATAATGAACAATGAACTTGAATTGAGTACTCTGTAAAACTTTTTAACTTTCGGATCAATTTTTAATCGTATTTATTAAATATTTTCCCTATTTCGTACAATTTTTATCGTAAAAATACTCTCTATGTTACGGAAGTATTCTTTTTAAAACCTTGAAGAACCATTCTGGGCCAACAGGTTCCTCTTGAGGTAACTCAAATCCTTCAACCTTAATTAAAGAACAAAGTTGCTTTATGCCTAACTGAAGGCTACTTAAAAAAATAATCTTGGTTTCAGATTTTCTCTGGATTAATTTGTTTTTTTTTTTTATTTCAAGTGTTTCTGAAAATTTTAGATTGGGATTTCTCCTCCTTTCAACTGATCATAAATTCATACATGGGGTTGACTGCTCAACCAATCTTTCCTCAAAATTAAAACATTAACTCTTAAATCTTACTTTATGTTTCCAAATTATAAACAATAGAGACCTCAAACTACATATATATTCAATGTTTACTTATTCAATTCAATTTTTACTTAAAATTATATTTTCAATTTTTATTTTTAAATGTTTTCAGGTAATCAATAATAAAATATCATTAAGATAATGAATGAGGTCTTTATAAAAATCCTAAAAAAGAAATACTAAAATAAAAAAAAGTACAGCAACTAAAATACAGTGACTGACCGAATAATACTGAACATAAAGAAAATGAAGTATACATTATATTTAATGTATAAAGTACAAATTAAATGAACTTCATACCCTCTGCATTACACATACTATTAATGGTATAAATTTAAAAAAATCGTAAAGAATGAAAAGCGATGCAATTGATATGTATCATAACTTACACTGCATCATAACAAAATGAAGACATAAGCTGTTTATCATTACTAAATACACTATACTTAGCTCAATCTGAAGGCCTGCATAAGCTCAAAAACTATTACATAGTAGGCTACACTTACTAAACTATCTGCAGAGTTGAATGAATACTTGCGAAAACAAAAAATAATAATGTAATGTTTGAAATTTAGGCAAATAAATGAAGGAGAAGGGACTTCAAATTATTTTCATAAAACATTTGTTTCTAAAAATGAAAAAAGGCAGCACCAGCTTTCTAAAATAGACTTGAAGAATAATTATCAACAAATTCAAATTAAAACATTACTTAAAACAAATTAGAAAACAAATACTATCTACTGAACACAGGTTAACATTCCATACTGAACTGTATTAAGTCAAATATTGATAAATGATAAAGGTATAAGGTTATAATTAAAATGAAAAACTCATAGTAAATAAAAATGTATATTCAACATAAAATATACAGAAGGAATAGGATAATGCATGGAATTGTTATTACATTAAAAACCAATATGAACCTTAATCACAAAACAAGAAAAAAAGTTAAAAAAATAAAAATAAACAGTGACATGCTGTTATTATAGAACTGAAACTTAAAGTATTCTTGTTAAATATTGAAAAGAATACTTTTTAGAAGTTAACAGTCCGGCTAAGTTGCAATAACATCTGTACATAACCTCCACAAAGGTAACCAACATGTTTTCATAACAAAAGTCAAGGGTAAAAACAAAAGAAAAATTTCTCATTACGCCAGAAATAGATAATAAAAAATACAATTATTTTAGTGCAAAACAAAGCAAGCGAAAAGAATCCACAGCCTTTAAAGTAATCAAATAAAAATAGAGATGCTGTGCAGTTAAGAACCAATCTTGAAATCACCTTGTTTTCGGACGGGCATATCTGACTTTGTCGGTGTGAACAATGACTTGAAGACAATAAATAATTTTCGAAAAGGAGTTCCTTGAGATTGACAATACAGGAGTCTGGTGGTAACACAGGCACTGCACACGCACAAAGGTGTTCCCGACTACACCAAATAATGTAAAAAACAAATCAAACCGGCCCGCACTCGTTATCAACAGGGCAAAAACTGACGAACATAACGAAAAGTCGAAAGTTGTCGAGTAGTGAAACAGTTGAACGTCACAGCGGGTGAACGGTCAACAGCAGACTGATTCCATTGGTCGATCTCCCACGTTGCCTTCAATCTCACAAAATTTGAATCACATTTTATTTTATTTTTTTACATAACATGATAGTGATCCTATTATATTATAGAACCAAGCAGTTCCCTAAAACAACTAAATTTTATTGAATTATTAATTTATATTAACTGAAACCTACTGATCTTACTAATATATTATAAAGTCAGTAAACAGATATCTCTGAAAGATATTATTTCATCATCGTCCTAGTTCTTCTCATCAATATTTCAATTCTTCGGATAGTAGAAAACACATTAGATTTTAATCAGAAATATGTTTAATACAGTTTTCATTGAAACAGATAATATAACCTGATCTCATAACCATATCAGTGTGTAAACTCACATTTTCAAATTTCAGATAGATCTTTTTAATACTTCTTTATTTTTCTCTTTTAAAACGAACAAACTATGGCTGTAAAAATACATAAAGGTGACATAAACAACATTCCAGAGGGTGCAGTCATAATATCTAAACATAAAGCACTGGATATGCAATGGAATCTTATGAATAACTGGACCCCCACAAAAGAAGTGTATGTTCTTAGTTATTTTCTGTGTGAAATATAATTTCATCAGAATGTAGAACATCTTCTACTGAGCAATTAGAAATAATCAGTTTTTATTTTTACTATTTTATCATTTTCTACATATTGTAATGGATTAAATCATTAGGTTGGACAATTATATATTTCAGTGAAAATTATACTTTAGGAATAATCCCTCTGTCCCTGCAACTTACTAGGTATTTTTTTGGGTATGCGCTTAACAAGGAATTTATGTTTCCTGACTAACTACTAAGTGTTAAAGGCTTAGGTGATTAAGCGAAGATCAGGCTCAAGTTTTGTTGATAATTTTTTCTGAACTAATTCACAGATTGATGCCTCAGGAGGTTCTGCTGGCCTCAGCATTGATCAAGGACTAACTAAAAAATAAGTAATTTTTGCCTTGTCTCTCCCATACCCTTATATTATAATTGAACTTTTGTTTTGCTTTTTTAACTGAAGTGTTATCATGCATATAGAAGCATGTTACTTTTGTTGTGTGTTACAATTTTAAATTATGGTGATGCATTTAAATGATTAATTAATTAATCTGAGAATTCATTTAGTGAATTTATTGGAAGCAGTGTATTCAGTAGAGCACATAGCTCCATTTGTTTATTCTGTTATTTCAGCCTTCAGTTGAATAAGAGGTCAGAAGAACCGCCTGTGGCACAGCCATCCTCTATTGATGATTATCTTTACCTCCTTTCAAAACCGTTGGACAAGAAACTGTACTTCTTACTAAATACTTAACCCAAGATCCTTCAACAATTGTAGTGGGAGAGGTTTTTTGAGGCAATCAAATTCACATACTAAAAACTTATAGAGAAAGCTATTTAAATACAAAAATTACAGTTATTTATTTATTTTTTGGCATGATTTCTATTACTTTTATTATAAAAAGGATGGCCAGCAATAAATCATGACTAACCTCCATAAAATTTTACTTATTATTAGAACTTTTTTTTTCTCCGGCATAGTGCCGTATAAAATGATTTAATTAACAAATATTCATTAACTAAAACTCTTTAAGTTAACAAATTATTAAATTCATCACACCATCAAGTATAAAATAGTTCGTTCAAGGCTAATATGAGTAAATAATAGACCCAGGAGGGGTATAAAGCAGCGCTGAGCCATGAAATATAGGATAATGCTTCTTGAAGAATTCATACTTAGTGTTTTAAATACAAAGTTCATAGAAAGTTGTCTCTGGCAAAAAAAAACTCACTTTCTCTCGACCCTTTTGTTTACCATAGTTACTTTATTATGACACAAAAATAAAGAATGTTACAAAATTAATGTTAATTAACAACTGTCTAGGAAATCACATACCACTTCAATCATTTAAATAATTTTGGTATTAAAGAAGATAACTCATCCATTAATATGATTTATTAATCAGAGTTTCAACTTAAATTTATTTATGCAGGAAATGCATTTAAATAAAAAATAATTCTAACAGACTGATCTGTTTTAGGCTCTTCTTCAAATTTGGACCAGGAATATTAGCAGCTACTTCAATAATATCATCTACACTAATCATGAAACATTATCGAAACAAACTCAAACTTTTATCTATAGGAAGGGCCTTATTGTTTATTCCTGGAGTTGTTTTTCCATCATTGATGATACCACCTTTTTATGTGAAGGTATTATAAATAATTTGATGAAATTATTCTTCAGGTGTTTCTTTAGTCATCAGGTTGTACAATTCTAATTCTGTAGTTATAACCATAAACTTCATCCAGTAAAAAATATTTGACTGGATACAATGCAAAAAAAAAAGTGTGGTGGTAGCTGTCATAGCTCAGTACATCACGAATTTCTACCTTTTTTTCTCTTGTATTGAATAATTATTAATCGACTCATTTTTCATGAAAAATTAATTTTAAATTGGAAGGAATTCAAATTATTATTTTGATTCTTCGGTTTTATCAATATTTTATTGAAATTTATTAAAAAATGTATAAGGTATTAATCAATTAAGTACCTTAATCATGGTAAGTTGCCAGATTGATAAGGGACAAATCAGGTTTTAAAGATTTTGAGGTGACATCATGACGTGGTTAGGGATGTTCTATAATTCTCTGTTTTAAAGCCCTTCAGTTGTACGCTTTTTGTAATAACACAAATAATTCTAGGTTATTTGTAATAATTCTAGAAATAGCTTCTTAAATACCATGGGATGCTTATCATTTGTCAATTAGATTTTTGAAAGTTAAATAATGCTATTTATTATAATCTATAGTGAATTAAAAATCTATTGAAAAATAAATAAAGGTTGAGTAGCCTTAAGATCTCTTGGAAAACTTGTGTAATATGGAAACAATCTTTCAATATTTTCAATAAAAATAAACAATATTTCTCCATATTCTTTCAAAAGTTTTTTAGATTGAACCTGGGTTGCATCATCTGTAAGTTCTTGTCACATTCCTTTCTCTTCTATAGGAAAATAGTGCAGTTATATATACAATACATAAAATGGGGTCTTTATGTATTTTTCTACAAAATTTTCATTCAGAGCTTATGCACAGACTTTCAACTATGATTGGGGAGGAGAGATGGACAAAAAAAAAAATGGTGGGAGCTAATATTATGTGTACAAATTCAACATAATTATTTTGAAGTGAACAAGTATACTATAAAACTTATTTAGATGTAGGATTTTTTTTTTTTTAATCTGTATTGATATATTGGGTGGATCCATAAGTTCGTTCGGTTTTTGTTAGTAGTCCACATTGTTTTCAAATATCTCCAGTTCTCTTTGCCTTATCTGACAATAATGATACTTAAAGGTCAAAGTCCGCTCTTTGAAACTTTTGTGTTTGGTTTCATTGGCATTAATTTTGTTTGTGCTACAGCGTAGTGAATATGTCAAATGATAAAGTTCATTTTCAGTATATTTTGCTTTCTTATTTCAAAAAAGGTAAGTGAGGTTCGAAGGCCCACCGAAAGATTTTTAAGATATACAGGGAAGAATCCTTAACAGAAAGTACTGCTCAAAAATGGATTGTCAAGTTTCGTTTTGGAAATATGAGTCTCAAAGATACATCTCGCAGCGGTCAGCCCACCGAGGTTGAATCGAGTGATATTAAGGCTCTTATCAAAGAAGACAGGTACGAAGTATTGCGGAGACACTGAAAATAGGTTTTAGGAGCATTTAAAACAGTTTGGCTAGGTGTCCCACCACGATTTTTGGGTGTCACACAAACTGACTGAGGCAAACCTGGCCAAACAAGTATCTATCTGCAACGATCTTCTAAACCCAAAAGGAACCCATTTCTCAGACGAAAAGTGGACCATCTAAGACAATGTAGTGCGCAGTTGATTGCAGACAACAGCTGGCACGCCACCTTATGCCACCCTGAAGGCCAGTCTACATCAGTACATCACTTCAATTTTTCGGAAAAGGGAGGAGAAACGATTTTCTCATCCTCCCCCCTGAAGTCTGTGCCTATGTCTCATAGTCACTTTAAATATAGCAATCAAAATTCTTGATTAGTTATGTTTTAATAACTGTGCTTCCTAGTCAATTTTTTCTTTTCCAGTTACTCTGATCTATACTTCTACTATTAAATTTTAGTATAATGTAAAGTAAGATTCTAAAATCTGTTGCAGTCTGTGTTACATACATTTTAACTAAGTAGTTGAAGACACTGTTATTGTTTATTAAATTGTATGATGCATTATCACCTTGCCTTAATCTCAATTTCTTATATGTTTCCATCTCTTCCTTTGATGGTCAATTATTCCGTTAAGTTAACTCAGGATTCAATACTTTATGGTTTCTTTTACCAGGCAGTGACACAACCAATACTGCTTCAGGACCATTGCCCAATATGTATTCAGATGAGGAGTGTTACTATCCAGTCAATGGTATCAATTTCATATCCAATTCTAGTAAGCTCAGTGGGAACACTTCTGGTAAGTATTGGTAATATATTAATTACTTTTTTCTTTTAATAGTTCTAAAAGAAAATTCTCCTAAAACATACTTAAATCACTATCACTAATATCAATGTGTTCACTAGGGTCAATGTGTTCTGTTTATCTTAAAACTATCTAATTCTAAAACGTTACAAATTTTGTATACTTTGTAACAGGAAATCATGCAACTTTAAAAGAATAAATTCATTCCTAAAAGATTATTTATTAATAGTGTACAAATTTTACTTGAAGAATACCTGTAATTTCAATATCAAAGTGAGTGTAGGCATGCATTTATGTTTGTATGTGAGTGTGTGCCTGCATGCTTGTTTATATATTTATTATATATATATATATATATATATATATATATATATATATATATATATATATATATATATATTTATTAGAAATAAATACACATATCTTTTGACGCCTTAGTCAGCCTTCTCCATTTCGGTCTCTTCCTTTCTAGTTATCTGCATGCTGCTAACTACAAGCTCTTTGATTATTATTGCAAATTGAATATACAAACATAAAAAGTAATATATAATATATTATCAGTTTGTATATTAAATTTGTAATAAGAATCAAAGAGCATGTAGATAACTAGAAAGAAATATGCCAAGATTGAGAAGGCTGATTAAGTCACCAAAAGATCTACAAGATTTGTAATGCCAACAGAAAAAAAAAAAAAAAATTAAATATATGCAATATTTTCCATTGATCATCATCATATGTGGCACGACATCCCGTTACCAAGACTGGGCCTCCTCCAAGAGCCTCAGCCAGTTGGCTCTGTCTTCTGCTGCAGCTCTCCAGTTCCGTACACCAAGCAGGGTTCTCGCATCATAGGCCAGGTTGTCCAACCATCTCGTCCTCGGCCTTCCTACCCATCTTACGAGGTGCAGCTCCTCCATCATTATTTTCTTTGGTATTTCAACGGTGCTCATTCTGGCCACATGCCCTGCCCACCTTAGTCTGGCCAGTTTAATATACGTGACTACGTCGATGTCTGTATAGAGAGAACTGAGCTCCCTATTTTTCCTTTTCATCCAGACATCACCCTCCTTTACTGGACCATATATCCTTCTGAGGACTCCTCGCTCAAACACACTCAGCTTCATCTCATCATTTTTAGTCATCGTCCAAGCCTCTGAGCCATATGTCAAAACAGGCCGAACAAGGGTCTTGTATATGATCAGCTTGGTCTTCTTTGAGAGGTACCTACTTCTTAAGTGTCGGCCAAGTCCAAAGACACATCTATTGGCAGCCGTGATCCTTCTTTGTATTTCTTGAGCCATGTCATTTTTGCTATTAATTTCAGACCCAAGGTATATAAAACTTTTCACTCTCTCAAACTTAAAAGAACCTACCTCAAATGGAGAGTTCAGATCCACCTCACCATCAACTCTCATATACTTAGTTTTCCTCTCATTGACTTCTAGACCAAGTGGTCTTGCAGCTGCTTCAACGCCTATAAACGCTTCTCTGAGAGCCCGTTCAGACCTACCTATAATGTCAATATCATCAGCAAAACCAAGAAGCTGTGTCAGGCGATTGAAGATTATATCATTGGTCTGAATACCGGAGTCTCTTACAGCTTTCTCCTCTGCCAAGTTGAACAATAGACAGGCGAGGGCATCCCCTTGCCTAACCCCACTGCTCACTTTAAACTCTTCGGAGTCGTCAGAACCGACGCGTATTCTACATCTCAAGCTGTCCATGGTCATCTTTATTAGGCGTATGAGCTTCTGAGGGATGCTTAGCTCCTCCAAGGCACAGTATAGTTGCGTTCTATCAACGCTGTCGTATGCTGCTTTAAAGTCTAGGAATAAATGGTGGGTGACTACCTTACACTCCATAGTCTTTTCTAGGATCATCCTCAGAGAGAACAGTTGATCAGTGGTTGAGCGTCCTCTTCGAAATCCAGCCTGATATTTCCCCAGTTCCTTTTCAGAATATTAGAGAGCAGCTTATAAGCACACGAAAGGAGTGAGATTCCTCGATAGTTAGCGCATTCTGTTTGATCTCCTTTCTTATGTATTGGGCAGATAATGGCTGTTGCCCATTCCGTAGGCATAGCTTCCCTCTCCCAGATGGTCAGCATTAAATGATGCAGAGCTTTCTTGAGTTCTTCACCTCCACATTTCAACAGCTCTGACTGGATTCCGTCCGGGCCTGGCGCCTTTCCATTTTTCAATTTCCTCAGGGCGTTTTCTATTTTCTCCTCATCCGGGGGTTCAATAGAATTCAGGGAGTCTTCCTTCATTACTCCTACTTCTCCAGGCACCGTTCCTCTGTTTAATGCGTCTTTGAAATGTTGTACCCATCTCCTTAGTATGTCATCTTTGAGGCTTAAAAGAGTTCCATTCGTGTCTTTGCATGCCGTCACTCTGGGCCTGAAAGCTGCCCTACCCTCGTTTATTCTCTGAAAGAACAGCCGACTTTCATTTTGGCCGCGCAATGCCTCCGTGTCCTCCATGTTCTTATTTTCCCAAGCTCTTCTCTTTCCGCAGAATAATCTCTTCTCTTCGCGTCTTTTTCTTCGATATGTTTCTTGGGAGATCCTTGTGGGACGCTGAACCTTCTTTCTGTAGGCTTCATTTTTCACTTTTACTGCTTGAAGGCACTCAGCATCAAACCATGGGGGCCTTCTAGATTTAGTCTCGTAGCCAAGAGATTCTTCTGCTGCCTGTTTCATTGCGTTGCTGCATCTCTTCCACTGTTCATCGACCATAGAGCTGTCATTAATTACTTTTTCATTAAGTTTCGTCCCCACAGCTTGTTGATACGAATATTGGTGGTCTGAGTCCTTAAGTTTAGCTACATCAATCTTCTTTGGTCGTTGGTGGTGGTTTTTAATCAGCGAAATTCGTGATCTGACCTCGGCAATGCTCAAATAGTGATCCGTGTCCATATTTGCACCTCTATAAGATCTTGCATTTATCATGTTGGACTTGTGACGGGCACTAATGAGTACATGGTCCATCTGTGATGTTGTTTGCCCATTTGGAGAGGTCCATGTTGCTTTGTGGATATTCTTTCGAGGAAAAAGAGTTGTTCCAACAACCAGTCCGTGCAATGTAGCAAAGTTCACCATCCATAGCCCATTATCATTACTGGTCTCAGGCAAGCTGTGGGTTCCTATGGTCGTGTGCCACTTCCTTACCAACTTGGGTGTTAAAGTCACCAAGAATGATTTTAACATCATTTTTGGAGCAGCTTTCTGTCACGCGTCCAAGTTCTTCATAAAATGTTTCCTTATCCTCCTCAGGTGACACCTCTGTTGGGGCATGGCAGTTGATTAGAGAGAAATTAAAAAATTTTCCTCTAAGCCGAATGTAGCATAACCTTTGGTTAATGGGAGTAAATCGCATCACTAGCTGTCGAGCTCTGCCTCTCACAACAAATCCGGTACCAAAGATGTGATGCTTTTCATGGCAGCTATAGTAGAGTGTATGGTACTTCTTCTCTATAATTCCCTGTCCTATCCATCGGACCTCTTGGATAGCTGCTATGTCAATTCTGTATGTGTCCACTTCTGCAAGGAGCGCACGAAGTGCTCCTAGTCTATGTAATGATAAAATGTTCCAAAATCCAATCCTTAGGTCATTTAGGCGTTTCCTGGGTCTGTTACCGTAATTCAGTCCGTCTTCTTCTCTTTGAGGTTTCGTAATAAGGTACTTTAGGGGAGGGAGAGGGGGTTATCAGCCCACTGCCCCCGAGTCCGGTAGAGGGGCTGCCTCCTCCGAGCATCCTGACTAGCTCCCCCATCCGGGGCGGCTACATAGGGAAGGTGACCCTAGGGTGTGTACTGTAGGTGACCTTTGTCTGTAGTGTTTAGGTGTTGTAGTGTGCTGTATAAAGTGTACTTGGTGTGTGACTGCTCGTGAAAGTGTTCCCCCAACCTGGAGGGCCAGTGGCTGGTTGCGGTACAATGACCGGGCGATGGGACCGCCATTTTCCATTGATACCCAAGTTAATATATTTTTACGATTTTTTATAATCATTTAATAAAAAATAATAAATTACAATATGCATTCCGAGGATTTTATAATTGTTTTCATTATTTATCTGCTTGTTATCAATACAGTACTGAAAACTTGCTCAGTATACAATGTTTTATACTTTATTTCATTTAGTTCATCATGAAAAATTTATTTCAATGATTTACACTTTTTGATATCTACACTTTTCACAAAAAAACATATATATATTGATAGATATAGGCAAGCGGCAAATGAAACACCATTTATTCTTGATCTTATCCCAGACAAAATTTCCAAATTTCATCAGAACCTTACTCATCACCATAATCCCATAGCTCAGTTCCTATCTAGCATCACCCATCTCTACAAACCTCCTCAGAGGTTAAAACAGCAGTGGCCCCGTGACCTTTTGTAACATGTATATATTGGAGTTATGGCAAAGGGCAGATCCTCCACTCAAGTCATCAGTGTCTGTGGATGTAGCGCCCTTACTCAGGCTCTGCTGGCTTTTAATACCTGATCTCCTGAAGCCTCGCTTTTCCCTCCACAAGTGGGGGAAAAGTCTGGTTCGGAATTCCCATGGACGATTGTAAATAGTGTAATTAGGTATGCCTGCGTCTAAGTTGGTTATTTTTATTTATTTTTTTCAGAACATTTTAATTCCATTTTATTTATTTATTTTTATTTTATTATTATTTTCTTCCCTCATTATGATATTTTATTTTGTTCTTATTTCGCTGTATATTATTTTGTAATTAACTTATTTATTTTTTTATTTTGTAAATATGGTGTGGATGTCATCTCTGAACTCTATTATAAGTGTCTTAATTGAGACAGATTATTATTTATCAATAAACAAGTAATCTAAAAAAAAAAAGTAAATAAAATTAAAGTTGCAATTTAATCTTTGAACACTTTTAGTAACTCATTACTTTTGGTAACTCATTAATTTCATATATAAATCTATCTATTATAAATGTCCTTTGAGACAGATTGTAATATTTCTCAACGACAAGTTCTCAAAAAAATAAAAAGAAAGAAATCGATCTCTGAAACTTAAATTTAATAGAGTTGTTAAAAAACTTATAAATAATAATATATCTAAAGATATTACCTGGATTTAGAGTGCGTTGAGTTTACTTTAAATAATCTAATGGGAACACCAAAAATTCTTTATTTTTAGTCGAATCAAACTACAAATCTGCCGCAACTTTTACTACCACTAAATATAAAAAAAAGTTATGTAAGAAAACTCACAATTTGCAATTTCCTACAGAGAATGATTGTTTTGGTACTTTCACAAACACAAAAACACTTATTTAGTGAACGATATAATAAAATAATCTTTTTTAACCGTCATTTAAAACTAATTATTTAAGCGAACAGAATTCGAAAAGACTTGGGAGTGAATTTTTTTTTTTTTGTGGAATTAAGTTTCACTGCTGCCAACCACCAAGAAAAAAAGTATTAATTCAATGGTTAAAAATGTTATGTTAAAGTTTCACGTTAATCTGTAATATAAACTATAGTTAAATTTTAAATATGAAAGAATTTGATTATTAACTAAAGGAAAAATAAGAGGTCGTAACGGAGAATAGTTGTAATTGGGGAACCAAAGGAATATGAGCACACCCAACCTATTCCGAAATTTAGAACTTGACAATATTATGTAAATATACATATGCGTTTTTCATAAATGCAATTGTTGGTATTATTTAATTTTTAATTGTATAGATTACAGCGATATATATATTAAAATTTGTATATATAAGGGTACTTATACAAATAAAAATACCCACAATGAAATATAAATAAATATAGCAGCCATAATTTTTATTTTCACTTCCTCTTTGTCTGAAAATACTGTTTTCTGCTAAGGAAGAGGGTGGTAAATGAAATTTTGTGTGATGCGCGCAAAACACTAGATTTTTTTTTGTTTGTGCAGTCATCTAATGGGGCTTGTAAAAGCTGAAGAAAATATTATCTTTTACATATTATATTTAAATTCATCTATGTATATATATTTTTATACACACCGAAATACATTTAATTTAATTTTATTCAAATATTTATTATATTAAGCATATTAAGGTCTCGCAGAGAAAACCTGTATTTTTCAAATGTCTTTTTTATTTTATTTTTTTCTCATTATCATAGGATACTTTATGTTATCTATGTTAAAAGTTTATTGAAATTATATATCTTATTTTTCTAGATGGCAAATACTTATGGAACTTACAGGATACCTGAGTTTTCCTTTTTCTCCATAAAAAAGATTAGTGACATGTTATCATTTTGGAGAAAGATTAGTAAAAGACTGTTTAGTAACCTACCAATGCACTTCCTCCTGCAATTTATAGTGGCAATCTTCATAACAGAGATGACAGCAAAAGAAGTGTTTAAGGTCCAGGCTGAGGTTGAATTTAGAAACCCATCTTCCTCTTTGTATAATAAATGATCCATTTTATGTATATTTATGTAAATATGTACATACTCTTTATGCTTTCCCACAAATAATACTTAGCTAAAATAATGATGAAATGTTTCTAGATATTTATTAATTGAAAGAATCAAGTATATTGAGTTCATAGTTATTTGTAGATTTTTAAATAATGTATTTATTGACTTTTCTGTTTATTTTGTTACACTTACCTATTCCTTCTCTATTGTTTAATTATTAGAAACATTCCAGTGGGAAGTTGTATCTAATGATCATGCACTAAATAAGTAACAAATACTAAATAAGTAAACCTCCTTTTCTGGCCAGTAAGAATATATCGTGGGTCTATTGCAGTCATTCAGTAGCATTTCATTACTTAAAATCACCAAGAACTTTTGATGAATTTTTTCTAGGTAAAATCAGAAAATTGTGCACTATTTTTGATAACCTTACCGTGTTGATAAGCAAACTTGAAATTTAAAAAAAAAAAAAAAAAGGTTTAGCTCAATCAAAAAGTACTTAGTGACTTTTTGCAATAAATCGATGATATGAAAATCTATAATGGCCTGATTAGGCTGGCTATAGGTAAGATACTCCTTCGACTATCTCTAATGTCAATTTAGTAAGCCAACTGAGCCACTAATTACAAATCCTATATGGAGACTGCCTCTGCGGCATTTAAATGGTTTAAAATCCATAATCTCACAAATCTTTTTAAACTTAAAATCAACTAAACCTCACATGCCTCTGTTTTTTATTCAGTTTTTATACTTTTTGTCTATTAAAACACTTCATTTATTGGCAGTTTTTTTAAACAGATTTCTTGTTCTGTCGCCATAGATTTTTCAGAGTATCCAGTTTGTTTTTGTTTCTTTTCCGGAGTTGTCTATGAAATAGACACACTTGAAATCAGTTTTGTAAAAGTGAACCAGAATTTTCTTTATTGTTTATGAAGAAAGCTTAACTAACAAACTGAGTATACTGTCCCTACAGAGCGAACAATTTATTAAATTATGAATTTTGAGATTACAATTGGAAAAATGAGTGGGAGTGGGCTATTTGTTATAGATAAAATTCAACCGGGGAAATTGTTATGAGAAAAAAATTAACAATGAAATATTTATTAATATCTTAACACACTTTTTAATAAATTAGTGATGTGTTTATCAGAAGATAGTTCATTTTATTTCTGACAATCAGGTATTTGTTAAATAAAAACAATTTTAAACTACTTAAATTTGCCAGTGGGCATGTTATGTTTATTAAAAACCACACATTTTATTTGGCTTCATACGTAAATTAAAGGCCATATTCACCAATATTTTATTTTTTTTATATTATCAACATTTCTGACATTTCCCAGCGCTTGGGCCATTTTCAAGTCCTTTTTATTTTTATTCATCTAAAAATATTTCTTCCCCAGAAAAAACAGTTGAGCCAATTCAAAATCTTTTTATTCACATATTTGTCATAATTTAAAATACTACATTGACCTACTTCTGTTGCTGCAGCTTTGTTGAATTCTCTATACCAACTGTATTTAATACGTTTTTTTATCGATATTAAATGTATAAAGAAAACCTAGATATTTAGTACATATTTATAATTAATAATTTATTACTCTCTAAAGATTAATAACTATCTAATTTATTATTATTATAAACCACGTGCTCCCTCGATATCTATATAAGAAGAGAACCAAACGATTACAACTTATTGCCTAGATTAGTTTTAATGCTGTGAGAAGACTAATGGCGGAAGTCAAGAGGCGTTTTTAATAAGATTTCCTTGCATTTTTTAGAACACCTAAAAATTTATGAGAAGCTAGTTCATTCTTTAATAGATCTTGATTAAATGATGAAATTCCCATCATTTAGGTATTTCATAAATATGGATTTTATGAAACAACAACTTAAACTCTCCAGCAGGCAGATGGCACTGAGAAGTCTAAACCCATAGAGATTTTGTAATATCTGTTTTGGTTTGGCTCAATACAAACTCTATACTAGTTGAGTCTATGCTAGATCACTTCATGAGGAAGATCCCGAGACACATCTTTGGATCAGTCAATGAAAACTAAGTCTGCGCCAAAATGCGGAGTTGTATGAATACCAAGACTAAGTATCTCCAACTTCACTAGGTTGCAGATTAAATTGGATTGGTCATGTCATAAGGATTTATAGGTGCTCTCTAAAAGCATGCAGAAACACGCCAGGTGGGAAAAGAGCCACATCGTGCTGGCAGGATAATAAAAGGCTCACTGACATAAGAAAAACATAAGTTTATCACATGCCACAGATAGAATTATTTGGTGCAAAATGATTGAGCAGGACAAGAACCGCTTCATTCATCTGTAGCCCCATTAAAGAAAGATACTAGATCAGTGTCTTCATCTGGATGAAGTTTGTAATTGTAACCAGACTGAGAAATGAAGCCTCCATTGTTTGTAAATTTTCCTCTTTTACAACTGTTAAATATTTCACTACCCCTCCTTTCAAGAAATTTGAGTTTTTTTTTTTTCACAAAGAAAAATAATTAAAAGATATGAGGCTAGTTTTAACAATTAATAGGCCAAGACCAAATTATAACTCAGACATGATTCGTACACTCTCCTCTCTAAATCATTCCTGCTTTATAAATAAACAAATATCCTCACAAAGAAAGAACACATATCTTAGATATCTTGAAATAGATTTTCTTTTCAATAAACTAAAATGACAATATAAAAGATTTTAACGACCTAGAAGCAAAAATCGCAACTCTTCATTAAATGTTGGAGAATGAAATTTGGCCCCAACTGAGAAATTTAAATTTTTAGACAATAGCTTTCGAAGGGAAGCAACAGAAAAAAAAGATATTGATGAGATCATCGGAGGATAGATTTGTAGGAACGTCTAGACTTAAGAATAGTTGATCACTACAAAAAAAGTTTAGTTCTAATGCAATAAATAAAAACCATAAAACAACTCTTCTTAATAAATGAAAATAATAATAAAATATAGAAGAAAAGTAAACATAACCGGAAAAAACAGTTAACTATAAATTTTAAACAAGGTATTTAACTAAATTATGGAGTTAAGAAATAGATTATTGAAATATATGAACATCTTTGGGCTTAGATTGTGGAAGTAAAAACTCCCTCGAGATGAGGCTCCTGGTATTTTAAAGATAAGGCTACCTTTGTTAAATTAAGTAAAGGAGTCCCTGAGCCTTGCCTCTCCTAAGAAATGTACTTGAATCAAGTGAAGCTGAGATTGTAGACTAGTAACCAAGTAGAATAAGAAACATTGAGTTCTATCTATTGATCTACATTAAATAAAATAAAGCTATTGATCAACATTAAATTAAATAAAGTAGTATAGATCTCTTTTCTGGCTCACATAAGCGATGGATTTTGATGATTGAGGTATCAAATAAAAGGGAATTTCATGAAGAAGTGATGAATAGCAATTTCCAGTTAAAAGATTACTACTACTACTAAAAAGAATTTTTGAGATAGACCAGAATTCTTGCCGAAAGGCCGTGCTGTGTTAAGACTTTAAAAATTTTGCTATTATAAGTCTTTGGAAAAGTAAAAATTTGTTAGAAAAGTAACTAAGGAGCACTTCTGATAACATAACTTTAAGATAATTTCAATAAATAAAAAAATATCCAGAATAGCTTCTATATTCTCAGTAACAGACTTGTATACCTCTCAGTGAGACATCAATCTAAGTCTCTTCTGCAGCAAACAAATAGGTCTTGAGGGAATACAATGATGGTTCAGGAATAGTTCTTGCTCCACTATTAAACTGAAGGTTTTTTTTTTAGTGAGACAAGCTAATCGCTTATTAAGTATATTGTTACTTTGAACAGTTTTGGCAAAGTATTAAACTCCACCAGTTGCATGTATTGAATAGAATATCTTGTAGCATATTTTCTGCCATATATGAATAAATATGTTTCACTGATGTTGCTTATCCGCCAAACGTAAAAGGGAGAAGAATACCTATTCGATACGAGTTTTCACTGCGGTATACTAAGAAAAACAATACACGAATTCTCTAATGAAAGAATAATTTCTAGTATCAGAATTGAAATCCTATTCATACCATACCAAGTAAAATGAGAAAAATGGTTCATTAATTTCATTAACATAAAAGTCTTAACACATATGCGTAACTAGATCTAATGGTGTTAGTCGTCTGCATCAATTATGCTGAAACATGAATGAAATTCTATTATAGAGCAAGCATTTAGAATAGAATTTAATTTGTAGCAAGTATAATGATTTTTATGTACAGTTAAGTGGAAGTACAATTTTAATATGAGCGAAAAGTTTTAATGGGTAAAAATATCTGAAACTTTAATATTGAACTTGAAAAATTGTCAGTTCTTTTTACGATTTAATAATTATATCTGAGTAACTTTGCCCCTCCTGAATTGTTATACTTTATGCCAATTGAATTTTGAACATGACTTACTTAAGTTGTTTTAAAAATACAGAATAGAGATAAAGGAAGTTTTCATACAGATATTTAAAAATAGGAAACAACTTGTTTAAAAAAAAAACTTTATTTATATGTGTGGTCACAGTTTACTTCAGAGGAATAAACCTAGAAGAGTGAGTGGCACCAATACCAGGACGACCGTGCTTGACAGGTTTGTAGGTCAAGCTGAATTCACCAAGATAGTGGCCGATCATCTCAGGCTGAAACAAGTACACAACAAATAAATAAAACAAGTAATTCACAAATCAATATGAAAAAAAGCAATAAGTAGAGAAAAATTGATGTCTACATATTAAAACACAATTATCTAAATATTTGATATAAAATTTAATGGTTACTTTAACTTATTATAGTGATTCTTATCTTATAAGCAGAAGTTAGATGTTAACACTATTTTGTCTTTTACTATTTGAATTATATAGTTCTAGTGATATATCTCTATTTGTATATACTAGCTGTACCGCCCACTTTCAACCCCGTTAAATTTGGAATATATTTGTCCAATAATACACTTGAAATCACCTTCAGTAAGCATTTAATCAACTGAATGAAATCTGAATTGATGCAGAAAAATGTAAAAAAGGGGCGATCACAAAAAAGTTGGCTCAACTAAGACAGTCCTCCGTTTAATGGTTTTACAAAATTAATTCAAAGTATATTTTTAATAATTTGAAGAAAACTTACAGATTGTACTTAAGGATGAACAATATTTTCATTTCTTATGTTAACAATGTTTTTACTATTACTTTTACAATATATTTGGTTATTTGTAAGTTTATTCAGGTTTTCTCTGCTAGACCTTAATAGTGTATTATAGTGTCTTAGACTTACATGCTACTGAATGTGCTTTATTCATAGAATGCAAACAATATTTATAGGGTACTGTGCCAGCCAGCATGTTTGCTAAAAAGTTTTGTAAAACAGGTGCTCACTTCTCAGAGGGGTTTATACAATTGAAACTTTAAGTAGCTTAAAGTAATAAGACTTTCTTCTACATTCGTGTTCTTTTGATATTGTCTTTTAAGAAACATCTATGTATATCCTCCTGGATAATGCATTTCATTATGCACAAAGGACGTGGGGAAACAAGTTACCCTTTACTCCTCTAATTACATATATAGTCATGGTGAAGACATGTTTTGGACTTAAATTAAAATACCTTAGAAGTGAAAAGGGTATAGAGAATGCGAATCAGCAAACTATGGGAATGATGTGAGATGTAAACATACATATTTAACTTCATGTTTCTAACCTTTCATATCCCTTTGTAGAAATGCCTCAGATACATATTAAACTAAGAAATAGTTAAAATGTGCTCACAATTTGGAAAGGTTTTTTTTTTAAATACCACAGATAACATATAATTTTCTGTATTAATATAGGTAAATTTAAATTAATTCAACTCAGAGAGGAATGCACCGACAATAGGAAATAGTTTATGCTAGCAATGGACCCTTTTTACGATGTTTTTAACTAACAATGGTCAGGGATCATATGCTACTAGTATATGTTGAGTGCAGCTCCACTTAATGGATTGTCAGCACATGAAAACAAATATGTTTCGGGAATAAAGTATTTTATAGTTCATCAGATCAACACATTGTTTTGGGGTAAAATTTTTTAATGTTTTTTTTTATGTAACAAAAAATTAACTTGATAAGATAGACTAATTAATATATATCAAATACAGAAACCTAATGATGAAAGGCATGTGTATTATTTTTAACTGAATGAGAATGTCAATATTTTCGGATAGCCAATTCTTCAAGTAATTCTGTAATTGTAGATTATTTGTTTATAATTACTATTTGAACAAAAGAAATAAGGAACTTAGTTGCAAAACAATGTAGATATTAGAAATATGTTCTTATTATAAATACCTTAATTTCAACTTGATTGAATGCCTTTCCGTTGTAGACACCAACAATGCTTCCAACCATCTCTGGTAAGATGATCATATTTCTAAGATGGGTTTTAACAACCTCTGGTTTTTCATTAGGAGGTGCAAGCTTCTTTACTTTACGCAGTTTCTTGATTAGTGCATTAGGCTTCCTCTTTAGACCCCTGACAGAAATCCTCCTTCTTGCACGGCAGTGCATAAGTTTAGTTAGTTGTTCCCTTCAAAAGAAGAATATCATTATTATATGAGAAATAAAATAGAAAACAAAAATGGAGGTCTCAGAACATCTTGTCTGCCGTTCCAGAGCCGCTGCTTTCAAAAATGGCGGCTGATTTAAAGAATATTAGGCCAATGATTTGAGGATCGAAACGGGAAATCCATTGTGAAAAATGTGAGAAAAGTTTTTATTTTTTTAACTTGCATATATGGGTTTACACATGTAAAAAACAAAATTGCTAACGCGGGCTACTAAAGGAAAACTTTTTACAGCCAAAAAAGTCAGATTTTTTCAATATTTTTTGGGTTTTTCACCTATAACTTCTAAACAATGCATCAAAGTGAAAAATGTATTCTTTAATAAAGAACGTTAAATTTTGTGTCAAACGAGTACATAAACTTTAAAATTTGGTTATGAGGTAAGGTATAAAACCACAGTCAACCAACGCTGAACTTTACCAAATTTGTCAAAAACGGAGACAAATTACTATAAATGGACCTGTAACTTGGAAATGAGTTCCATAAGAGGAAAACCCCATAGAATCAAAGTTGTAGAGCATCAAATTTATATACTGAGTACCAACTAATTTAATGTAGGTCACTGGCTGCGAAAAAAATCGGTAATCTTTCGATGATTGGAAATTGGTAATGAAGATAAACGTGATTTTCAATATTTCAACAGTATAGGTGTCTTTTCTACTGAGTTATTTTTGTTTAGAAGTCTGTTACATGCAGTATAAGCTCTTTTCCACCTCTCAGTAGCAAAGGTTTTGGTAAACGATGTGCCGAAATATACCGAATTTTATAGAGGACTAACGAATCCCGATTCGAGATATATAATTGGCCTACAATAAAAATGTCAGCACTCACTGAACGCAAAATTTGATGCTCTACAACTTTGATTCTATGGGTTTTTCCTCTTAGGAAACTCATTTCCAGTTACAGGGCCATTTATAGTAATTTGTCTCAGTTTTTGTCAAATTTGGTAAAGTTCAGCGTTGGTTGACCGTGGTTTTATACCTTACCGCGTAACCAAATTTTAAAGTTTATGTACTCGTTCGACGCAAAATTTAACGTTCTTTAATTTATTAAAGAATACATTTTCCGCTTTGATGCATTGTTTAGGAGTTATAGGTCAAAAACCCCAAAAATATCGAAAAAATCTGACTTTTTTGGCTGTAAAAAGTTTTCCCTTGGTGGCCCGCGTTAGCAATTTTGTTTTTTACATGTCTAAACCCATATATGCAAGTTAAAAAATAAAAACTTTTCTCACATTTTTCGCAATGGATTTCCCGTTTCGATCCTCAAATCACTGGCCTAATATTCTTTAAATCAGCCGCCATTTTTGAAAGCAGCGGCTCTGGAACGGCAGACAAGATTTTTTTTACTCAGAATAACATACACTTTCGTAATTTACAATCAAACCTTCGCCTGCGATCAGGTCCATTTTTGGGCCCTGGCTCCAGGGATAATACATTTTTAGCATTGCAGAACAACATTCACCACTTTAATTACACCTTAAATCTCCATTGTCTATAAATTCAAGTAAAAAGCACTCTTCTTATTAATGTAACAAGTAAACTCTAAACTATATCAAACATAAATGACCAAAATTTCTACAAGATTAATAAAGATTCATGTAAATTTAACATTTCCAAGGACAACACAGCTATCAACATAGAAGTTGAAAGGGAAATATGGAAGGTGCTTCATATTATTGCTCTAAATTTACCAAAAGAGTCAATAACTAAACTTTTAATTAAATATTAACTTACATAGGCATGTCGAGAAGTTGATCCAAATCAACACCTCTGAAAGTAAACTTCCTAAACGCCCTCTTCTTCTTCTGAACTTCTTCTTGCTAGAAATTTGGACAAATTTAACAATTAAACAAAGTATTTGAATATTCACGTTGCATTAAAAATAATAAAGCATTAGAGACTATAGTAATAGTAAAAATTTATATTCAAAATTATTTATGAATATGATGCATTACTAGGTATATATACTAATTCAATTCAATACAAGATACTAATTCTTAAAAGACAAACAATAAGCAACAACAAATTACGACAGACACAATCCCTTAAACTGATAATTTACAAAATTAAACCAGCTATTAACATTAAAACCATACAAAAAATTAATAAGAAGTAGATAATTCAGCATATTATAACAAACAAAATAATGATGTAAAAGATAAATAAAGATTTTACTTACTTCAGCCATGGTGTACAATATAGGCACGGACACACGAGTACTAGAGGTTAATTCAATATGGCCGACTCCAGTGCCAAATAATTCACGGTGATATTCATCACAACATTCACTACATATCAATTTTCTGCTCTCAAAATTATATTTTATGAAGTTTTTTTATTACAAAAAATAAATTGAAAAATTAACATAAACATGAAAATTACATAAAATTGTGTTTCAAATTTAAGTGTGAGGCGCGTGGGGGAGAGGGGGAGAGATAGAGGATGGAGCAAATTACTTATTAAAAACTTGTAACTATTTTGAAAATAATTACCTTAATAATACATTTAATCTCCGGAGTTTTGTTGAATATAATTGATGGATCATTTTCTGTCACTTAAAAATCAAATTGAAATCATCTTCTGCGTTTTTTTGTTATATACGAAAATAAAAGACTAAGTCGTTGTTCTTGTACTTGAAGCCAGTAATTTGTTCACACTAATATGTTGAGCCACTATTAGATGTTTGACTACCTATCCTTCCTGACATATGGAGATCTCAGGATAAAGTAGATATAGTAGAAGTCATGATATAGTAGAGCAGCACGGGATTATGAATCTTTCCTTTGGTGCATCCCAAGTAACACTCACAGTATGTGGTCTTGCTGTATAAACATTCCACCCGTATCAATCATTGAATAGCTTTCACCAGATTGTAAACCAGCAGCATTAAAGTCACCAATTCTGAAACTAATTAAACAACATTCTAAATCTGAGCCTCTTGTTGAAGAGGTAACAATCTTAAGATATAAAATATCCTTTATGATACACATATACTTTATTTATTAAACAACAGAGATTATACATGGAGAATGTGCTTTTCACAAATTAGGGGAGGAGGGGAGTACGAGACATGTAATTTTTTTATTTGATTTTACTGTTGCTTTTACAAACCTGAAATATATCTTTGACAGTCTGAACTAGCCTCACAAATAGTCAATCTTGAGACACAGCTTGTCCACTTTGCTTCTTGCAGCTCTACAGTAAACCCTTAATGATTTAAGTAGTCTTTAAACTTAGAAGAAATATCTTTTTGTACTTAACATACAGTGATCTGTTTCGGATGGTTGATCATTTATTAAGGTGATTCTGGAGTAAAGTATTTGAATCTGTCGTCTGTTGGGAATGGTTTGTAATCTTGGATTAGGAAAAACGCAAGTGCACTTAGGATGATCTTACTATCATATAGAAATAGAAATAGAAATAGAAAAATCATCTTTATTCTGGGACTAGGTCCCTTTAGAATAACAGTATTGTACATATATATTAACTACAAATCTGGTCAAAAGACTTATTACAATGAATAATGACAAAATACATGTAATACATTAAGTATTAATTAACGAGGACAGTTTGTGAACAACAGTGAAACATATACATTGTTTCATCATCATTTTTTTTTGTGTGTGTGTGTGTGTGTCCTTCCTCGCCGTTAAGGCTATACGGAGTTTTCCCGGGGAAGGGGGTGTGGGCGGGGATGTAAAAGACGCCTTGGCACCGGGACGCGAACTCTTGACTATTTTTATAACACAATTGTCATATATCAGGTTGCCGGGCAACGGTGGTACTGTGCACAACGCGTTAGCCCTTTCGGTATCCCCGCCCACGTTTCATCATCATTGGCATGTAGGCCGATCTGTTCTGATTTTCTTAAAGTTACAGCAATTTTTTTTTCTTTTTTGGTCTAATTCATTGCGACGTGCATCCCTCGATGTTTTTATCATCTTTTCTAGGGTGAAATTAAAAGTATCGGTGAGTGTTTGAAAACTTCGAATCTGTTCGAACTTTGAAAGCTTCAGATACTTCGCTTTGTATCAGAATTCAGTACTTAGGATCATTTGTACAAGTATTCGTCATAATCTCACCAACTTCCCGAAACTTGTAGCTAGTTATAATTTTTCCAATTCAGTTTCCTTTCATGCAATCATAGGTTAAATTTAAACATAAGAAATTTACACATTAGATGTGCACGTCCTGAACTACTTTTCCTCGTTTTTGATCACCAGTTTTAGGTTGAAGATCCGGTTTAGCCTGAATCTTCCTCTTCTGAATCCAGTTTGATAATTTATATATTTTCAGTTTGCGGATTTATCCAGTTTACCAAGATATTGATCAAGGAACACTAATTTTTTGTAACTACCTCACTCATGAATCCCTTTTTAAAGGTAGGATAGATTAGACCCGTGTTTTAAGTCATTGGTGTTCTTGTCTCTTCCATATTTTCTGGATTAGATGTAATAGTTTGGCTCTTAGATTGTTTCTCCTTTTTTAAACAGTTCAGGTTGTCCAACATATCTGGTTGCTATAGGTTTAGATCCTGATCGTGTTTCCTTGGTTTTCGGTTTTCTTAGTTCGTGAGTACCCGTGATTGAGAAGTTGTTGGAGATGTTTTTTCTAAATGCTTAATATCCTTTCTTTTGATGTAGCTAGTTTGTCGAATTTATCACGCACTGGCCTGGTACGTGCTTTAAATCCTATATTTTCTTTCTTGATTTCTTTGTACAATTCGTATATATTTTCAGCCTGCCAGTCTTAAATTTTTGCAGACTTTCTTTGAGAAATTGTCTTTATGCCCCTCTAATTTTGTTTGTCTTGTTCTTAGCAAGTGTGTGTTTGCCAATTGTAGCTTGAACAGGTTTATTAATGCTGAGGTCTGTCATTCTTCTTCATTTCTTCACTGCCTTTTTGCATGATGCTGTAAATCACTTTTTGGATTTTTCGTTTCTGTTATGATAAATGCCTGTTACTTCTGCTGTTTCTTTTAGCCCTATCTCTAATACCTCTCTGTATCTTTCAACTGTGAGACCCTTTGACTACAAGAATTCGGATTTATTCCATATCAGTTTGGATATTGCATCAGTTTTCTTTTTTTTTTTTTAATTACGGAATTTATTTAAGCCTCTTTCTAAGCGATTCTCTATTTGCTAAATTAGCTCTAGCCTTTGATGTAATTTTATTCATTTGTGAGATTAGGTAATGTTAATTTTTATAATTTATCTATTATATCATATTTTTCATAAATTTTGTAATGTTGCCATGGCATCTTCACAATACTAATTTTGTTAATTTAATGCTGATAAAAACGTTTCTATTGTTGCCGAGGCTTCTTCATCTTCATAATGTCAATTTTAAGTTAGTTCATTAGTTGTGTCATTTTACTTCTAAAAGCTTATAAAAACCTACGCAAACATTGTACAAGTCAAAACTTAGAATTCCAAGAGATTGTATTTTATCTTGCTCCTACCATTCCAGGTCGTAAAGAACTATCGAAAACATATACTATCAAATGAATTTGGACCATTATATGTGTATCTTTCTTCGAGTTTTAAAAACTGAAATCCTACTGATACAAAAGTCGGAAGTCTGATGTAATCATAAAATATCATAAATCAATTCCTAAGTATTTACTTTAGACATAACCGCTGTTAATGAAATAATTTGCAAATGAAATTCCAAGAGCATCTGAGTTTATAAGTTTTAATTTCTGAAGAAGTTTGCATACTCCACCATGAAACGAAGGGTAAGTTCATTTAACCTAAATAAAATTTGGATTAATATCTAATTAAATTAATTACCTAATTTTATTCAATAATTACGTAAATTAACACCCAATGGATTTGTAATACAAACATAATTATAATACACAATGTCATTTGTTCCATTAAATTAAGAATTTATATACATGTTTGTATTTAGAAGGTTCTCTCAATTTATTACCTTTCCAGAGTTTTGTTGGGATTTACAAGCAGAAATATAAAGCCTAGTCCACACTAGTAGACATGTTGTGCGAATTTAGTCTCTGAAACATGTCTCAGTTTGTCTACGTCGACATGTCTATAGGCCTGTTGCGAGACCGAAAATCGCATGTCGAAAGTCTCCCGAACAGAATAGGAAACGTTATGCAATGTTTAACATGAATAGCACAGCATTTTGAATGTGTGATCGTCACTCAGCGTCCAGAGACGAGACACTTCCCAGTCTTTACCAGCTAACGAGTGGGGTTGCTTTGGCTGTTTACACTTAAAAAGCATTTAAAAACTTTCCAAAGTTTTATAGTTCTTTTGTAAATTTGTGGTCTAACGAGAAAGTTTTAAAACTAATTGAAGATTAGCGTGACGTCTCCCAATCCTAATTTAATTAATCGTGCATTATCGAAACTAGATCCTTCTGTCCATCCACCAACGTTTACATTTTCGCTTTCTTTCACTTGTAATTAGCACTAAGCAGAATTCATTCGACACAAAACTATTATCTCTAGTATATCAAATATTCATTTATTAGAAAAATATATTCCTGGGGAGACACGGTATTATCCATGTAATAGAAAAAAATACTAAGTTTAGTGGAAATTCTGGCAAACTACCTTCATCCTCTTTTAGTCAATCATTAGCCACAACAATAGTTTAGTAAATCATTAGTCACAGTTTAGTAAATAAGTAATATTTATTTTTATTTTATAGCCAGAAATCCCCTCTTCCTTCCTTCTCACTCGTAAATCTGAGTGTGCTGATGTTTACTAGACGATATTAATTAGCCTTGTTTTAAAGACAGCCACAAAGCTAAAAACACAAAATTTCCATTTTTCTTTTTTTAATACTTTGGAGGGTTTGAAAAAGGCTAGGAGATCCATGGGACCATGATTAAGAGTACTGTAATTTTTACGGAAAGGATGTTAGCTAAAAATGAATCTGCGGGTGTGAAACCTGAGAATACTTTAATGTAGTTTATTTTTTCATCGAGGATTTTTATGTTTATTTATTATTATTGATTACCGAGTGAGAAAAAACAATTATTTATTATAAAGACTTGTGCCATGAAATCCCCTTATGGGCACTTTTAAGGGCAATACAACTATTGTAGGTATTAATCTTAAAAGAGCAAGTAAGAGGTTCAAAAACAGCTCGAGACGAGAATTAGATGTTTTTGTTGAAAACACAATTATTGTACTCATTTATCTGCGATATAATGTAATTATAACGAGTTAAAAGTATATCTGGAGAAGGGTAAAACATAAAAGATATGTATAATATCTGAAAATTTTTATCGGCATATAGGAAAACAGAGCATAAATATATTTAAATTTTAATTAAAAAAAAAAAAAGAATTTTTTTCAAAGATGGTCAACTCTGTGATGACAAAGTTATTTGCCTAGCTATCTCAGATAAGACAGAAAAAGTTAAATAATCTGGCTTGTGACCAATTCAGCTAGGACAAAAGAAACAATAATAAAGGCTGAACGACGAAATCAAAACTGGCGCGAGTGAGTGCTGCTCCCTTTCGGTGGTTGTTGATATTAATCTTTTGTATCCCTACATGTATTTAAGTTCTAGTAATTTTATTTTTAGTGTAAGCTATTTTTACGAAAATCTTACTGTTATTCAAACGTATATTTTGCTAAAAATTCCATTTTATTGAAAAAACTGATCACTTGATAGGTGAAAGTTATATCTTATTTAAGGACTACTTTTCAGTGGGTTACTTTGCTGTTGTGTGGGAAACAGCTGACTGCTGATGAATGTCTGAAGTTTGCTTTAGTTCCAGGATAGTAATGAAAATATGGCTTCTGGGTGCTGTGGTACGAAAAAACAAAAACTAAACAATAATTCTAGTGTACCATGCAATGGGACAGCGGTTATTCCTAATGGGATAAGGAACAATGGAATGGTAGCTCATCCAGATATGTGTTTTTATTGTTTCGACGTTTTGTATTGTCATCTACACAGTTTGGAACCACCGAAATCTCCCGATTTTTGCAATGATCCATAGTAAGTTAAGCTTATTTCATCTGGTTTCTGTGTTAATTATTTATATCATAAGCTAATTTTTGGAATTCTAAAATAGTGTAGTTTAATATTTAAGTAAACCTTTCTCTCTCTTTGTTAACTCAATCTAAACATTCTTATAATATTTTGCAGCCCATTATTTGTAACTTGGGAAATAGGTAGGGATCGAAGGCTAAGGGGCTGCATTGGAACATTTAATGCGATCAATCTTCACAGCGGAATTCGAGAGTATGCTGTTACCAGGTAATGTGGATTATTTTTCATAAGTTATATTATAACCATTAGTTTGTATTAGTCATCGTGTAGGTACTTCTAATATTTAAAACTTTTCTCGGACTCCTTAGTATTGTACAGATTGTCTTAGAGCTCCATTTAAATTGTCTTCTTATTTGTTTTGTTAGTAATATCATACATTCCTAATTTGAAGTATATAGACAGATTCTATTTATGCCCTAAAGTGTATGGATTATGGATTTAGTAAGTTGTATTTCAAGTCAATCATTGTGGAATAATTTATAAAACTTGACATAAATTGAATGTTATGTAGTATTTTTGTTTGTATAATTTTGAAAATTATGGACGAATTATTCTAATGCTTTTTTGTTTTTCTTTAAAATTTGACTATGTACTTACATGTTATTGGTGTTTAGTCGGTTTTTCCTTTCTTTTTGTCTTGTTATAGAATGCATATCACAGGACAATATGAACTTTCATTGATTATTCTCTTATTAAAGATGTAATTGAAAATTTTCAGTCTGTATTACTTGTGATATTTCATGCATTTATAATTTTTTTTAGTCCAATATTTAAAATTGTTCTTAATAATTACTGCTTTGTAATTTAAACTCTCTTACATTATGTAATTCACAATTTAATTAGTTTGGATTAAATTCGAGATAGGTGCGTGAGTAAGCATTTTTCTATAACATTTATTTATTTCTGAAATTTTTATGATTAAATTTGTCATCATATTATTGAAAAATTTAATTGTGGGGTGGTAAAACATTCTGAATTGTCTATTTGGATTAAAAATATTTGTTTATGCTGTCATTTATTCCAAAAATATAGAAAGAACTTTGAAAGTAATCATGAAATAACTAATAATTCATTTATCTTATTTCAGTGAACCAGGACAATTTTATAATGTTAGAAGACCGAGTAATATTTATAAATCAATATTCAATGAGATATATATTTCAATGATGATTTGCTAAACTGGTCAGCTTGACAATATGACCTTTTCTAATAATAGGTTATGAAATTTACAAAAACAACTTTTTTTGCAAATACAATTACTTTTTTTGTATTATATCTTATGGTTTGTTTAATTATTTGGTCTTCTAATATGAGATAATTAATTCTTGATTTATGTTTTATTTGTTTATCAGACGACACAATGAATATTATTTGCCACAATGTTTACTGAAAACAGAAAGCTAAATTTAAAAACAATAGATTTATTGTATTTACGCTTTTTCTTATATAGTGTAGGATAAGCAAGTATTATACAAGCTTGTTCTAATGATTCTATTCACTATTATTTTAATATTTTAAGTGTGTATATCAAGTCTCAGTTTTAATATATAGTCCTGGCGTGATTGAACTAAAAACATGGTATAGTTATTAAAATATTTTATAAGATTTTTTAATTATAATCCATTTGGTAAAAGAATGGTACTGAAATTCTCCCAATATCAATCTAATTAGTTGTTTTCACACACTCACCCATCGACTCCCTTATTCATTTCATTCTTCATTGCCATTTAGTCATTACATGTACGTCATATGAGTTATTAAGACAGGATATTGTTGGCTATGTAGGCACTCTCATTGCCAATGGAGTCAGATATAAGAACCAAAAATTTTTTTCATTTAAGTACATTTAACCTTTCTTGAAGTTAAAATTTCAGGTAAATTTAAATCTTTCTTTTATACAATCAAGTTTGTTTTTCGATTACATTATCAGCCACACATTTTCATTAATTAAGCTTATTTGTTGATGAGCTATAAATATATTGGGAAATGAAATCCTAGCACCTGTGTTTGGTAAATGACTTTACCATTACTTGAAATCCCAATTGCATTCGATGCCAAGCTCTAATGTTGCTGAAGAATATAATGTTTTGAGAAAACTCCATTAGCCTCTGACTACATTAACTTGATAATAAAAGTGTGGATTATGTAGTTTCCTGGAAGACTGGCTAAATGAAAGGTTTTGAAGAATTATTGGTTTTTATGGTGCCATATACTGAAGAATGTTGGTATTTACAAATCAAGGTTAAAATCCAATGTAATGTTCTGGTAACGTAACTACACTTTTTGTGAAATAGGTGAAATGTTAGTTAATTAGTTCATCATTTATTCCTTATGATTGGACTGCAGTAAAATACCCCGTGTTATATTTTAGTATTTTTGTTTCTTCAATTTTGTTGAACATCTTATGTTTTAAAGTAATTTATTTATATAAACCTATAATCAATTTTTTGAGGTTGTAGTTATTGTTATTACAGTATATTTAGCTGTAAATTTGTATTCCTGCGAGAAAAGAAAATCGTTTTATTCATATTAAGTATAAGGTCCAGGTAAAAAATTGGTTAACAGTGCAACCAGAATCATTTGATGTAAATGAAATCAATCTTCTCGATTAAAAATTAAAATATTGCTGTTGCTTAATATAAAACAGAATCCTAGTTGTCATTTTTTTCTGCTATTACTTGAGTTTTCCATTATTATTTTCTTGATAATCAGAAATCCATGTTGCACAAACCATTTTCTGTAAGTGCTCTTCTTGATCTGGGTACACATCTATCTTAAAGCATAACGAGCTTGATGAAAGAGATAAAATATCTTTCATGTAACAGGGGAGGCTTGTACCATCTTTCTTTTATGAGATCTAAAATATTGTTGGAAAGTAGTCAGATCTACCATGGCTTACAGACAATGTTATTTAAAATATGAAAACATCACTAACCATCACCTGATGCATTTATTTTATTTTTATTTTTGTATAGAAGGTAATATTAATGAAATATAAAATAGTAGGTAATATTAAGTTTGTATTATATTCTATCTTAGATAACTATTGCGAATGTTAATTCAAATTAGCAGGAGAGAAATTGACTCCAGCTAAGTGCTAAATAAAATATGAGGATTGAAAGATGAGCAATAAAATAAAGTATAAAGATTTTGAAAGCAATCTAAAAGGACAAATTATAAAAATCTTGAAATTAATGTAACCATATGCTTTTATCAATTCTCTCAACAACCTGTTACTTCGGACAGTCATTTTGTACTCTCTCTTTAAATAACATCGTCCTGTCATACCATGGTTTTGTCAATAGGTACTTCTTACACAATCGTTATTGAAATCCTTTTGAGAGATGTTACAGTTAAGTTTAATACTTTCATGAAAGTAGGAAATACTTGAACATGAGACTAACGTCTGATTTTACAACTTTTAAGTCTCATCCATTAAATCTCACACAAATTCAATCTTATCTTATATACGTTGTTGCTCCTTTACCTGTAGTTCAATCGTGATATGGTGAATCTGTATCTCAATAGATATATAGATTTGACAAATCAAACACTGGTAATCTACTGTTCCAATTTACACAGTTATAGGAACAATTAATTCTATTTAAATCTTACAGCAATGGTTGTATTACATTGAATTACAAATATATAGTATAAATACTATTTTTTATATATATTTTTATAATGAATTCTAAAATATAAATAGACTTTTTTTTTCATAAAAATTGGATTTTTAAAATTAGAAGTATTATAAAGCTTTTTAAAATAATGCAAGGTCAATTTATTGTTTGAGATCTCATTTATTTGTTATTTTTTAATGCCTTAAATGTTTAAAGGAAATTCTCAGTTTTGAATATGTCATTCATTAAATTCCCTACTACATCAAATGAAAAAACTATTCAATTTAAGGGCTTTGTATATTCAATATAATACGATTATTCACTTATGCTTGTTAGTTCAAATCTTTCTTCATGTCTGCTTATAGCTATCTATTATTTCATTTCTTTATTGTTTTAGTTTACTTTGATATATATTTTATTGATTGAATATTTAATAGTTGACTGTTGCATTATAAAGGAAGGAGATGGTCCGGGGTTGCGGTCATAAAAAGGCTAAATAGTGGTAAAACTATTTTATTGAAGGCCTAAGGCTAAATAGTTTTACCACTATTTAGCCTTTTTATGACCGCAACCCCGGACCATCTCCTTCCTATATTTTATTGATGTTTGTAATTATCTTGCATTTTCTGTTCTTTCTAAATATTTTCTTTTTCTGTATATATTCAATCAAACTTCTTGTAAACCAAATTGAACCTAGTTACTAACAAAAAATCTGGTATACTTGATTTTCTTCGTTTAAAAAGCAAAAATAATTCTCAAATTAATAAAAGGCTCTGCCTCAAAATTTAATCAGGTGATTGAAATTAAAGTGTGGATTGATGTGCTAATAATTTTTTAGGATAAACTTTTCTCCTTCATATCAGTTTTAAGTATAAATTTATTCTGGTCTAAAAACTTGATCAAATCTATTAGTTAATATGTATGTTAATTACCCTGACTCCATTGGCTAATAATAATAGACCTTAAAGATCTAGCGCTTCTCTGGAAGTATCTTCATTCTGAAATTGAATGGAAATGTTCTACAATGAATCAACTGCACTAATTTATCCATCAACTTAAAAGAAGAAAAGAAATATCCAGCTATTTTCTAGGTAATGAGACAGGCTTTCCATCGAATTGACTATCAAGGGTTGAGATGCTATACTTATATCAAATGACTTCTTTAACAACATTCAAACATATTTCTAGATTCTAAAGAAAAGTACTTCAAAATAAATAATCCCTACTCTATTTTGCACAACTAATGTTCAAGAAGTTGTGAAAATATCTTGATGACCTCTGAGACTACAGTACTATATTCCATTAGAAAAAAATTGCATCATAAAACGTAATTCAGAAATGGCCAGAACCTTTATATGGCGAATACATTTAATATGATCAAAATCAATGCACCTCTATTACACCAATAAGTAAAATCTGGTGAGCACAATACACAACTTTCACTTTGAATAGAAATTATTTTCTGGCAATGTTGAGTAATTATAAAATTTTTGAAGTGCACTTTAACGAAGCTATAGCTTAAAATTTACAGCTAACAAATGATTAACACCATTAAAATAACAAAATCCTTCTAATTATATCAATGGTAGACAATAAAAACCTCGGTACTCCACCTGTTGTAAACCTCATAACTCCTCTCTGAGCAATATATATATATGCCTAGAGAGATTTGAATGTATATCTCTTATATTCAACCTATAAATGATTATAGATTATAAGCCTATTAGTTATTAAACTGTTATTTTCCATTGTAAAATTTACTGCAAAGAAATTGCGGGATTTTCATTGCCTGCCTTAGACAGGTCGAAAGTTTTTACACTAATTTTAATCAGATAATGTTTGGATTTCACAAAGGGAAAATTCATCAAATTATTCACTAATTAAATTTTTTAAAAGGTTACATGAGGATTTTTTGGAATAAACGGACATTGATATCCAATTATTTAAATAAAATATCAGATCAAGAGTTATTAAACTACAGTAAATGTATTTAAGGTTATAAACATATGCTTTATAATACATCCATGAAATATTTTTATATTTCACTTCTTCTTTCACATAAGTACTATGAAATAGTTTTTTAAATAATGCCATTGCCTCGATTAGATGGATTTTAAATGCTTTTTCAAACTTAAAAAAGTTTGCATTTAGTTCGTAAATTTAATTTAATTTCCTTGAAAACATGTGATTTCCTTCATTCATGTGATAAATAATATTAGTTTTGACAAATTATTATTTGTAATTTTTCGTCACTCCCCATTACTTTCTATATTAGGTATTGTGTTTTCTAAAATTCTCCACTTTCCAACAATATATTCTACATATACCTTCTGACTAGTATTTTCGGAAATTCATTTTCGACCTAAATCAACATTTTCCCTTTTTTTCTCCATTTTCTAATCATCAAATTCTTTCAAAAGTTATATGTAACGTTTTTTCGTAACTCTTAATAATGAGAGATGGTTAATTATTTAAAATAAACCAAATTAAACATAGTTTAGAGGAAGGGATGTTGAACATTTAAGCCCTGTCAAGTACCCATAAATGGAGATAAGACCTCAATGATATTAAAGACCACTTAATTATACCATGATACACCGAGTTTAATCAAAATCGTTGGAGCCGTTTTTGAGAAAATTGTAAAAATGTGTATGTATAACCGTTGATGTAAAGTGCCACTTCCGTTTAGCCGATTTTGACAAAAACGTTACTGTACCATCTGAGGTATATACAAATCTCAATTGTGCAATTTCACTTTCATACGACTTTTAGTTTTTGAGCTAGACTCGTCACATACATGCAGACATTTTGTGGGACTTGTTTATTTGGACTCAGGCGACCTCAAAAAATGTATTTTCGTTAAAAACTCAGATTCGAAAATTTTCACGATCGCAATACTGTCCCTTACTATATATTTCATATATAGGTAAGTGAAAGTAAAAATGACTGTCACCTGATTAAGATAAATAATTAAGTGATCTCCTATAAGGTGTTCAGTTGATCAAGATGTTTGTAAATATTCCTCATTTTAGTATTCCAACAAAGCACTAATGCCAATTATAGTTTTTTTGCTATTATCCGTAATTTCAGGGTTAATGTTAAAACGGTCTAGATTTGAAAGTAGGGCTGGCTATACACACTACTCCTTATAATATTTTGGGTTTAGCTGTTTTCTTACTATTTTTAATTTTTGCTAGAATGTTTATGCGATGCTTGAAAGGGAACTTGCCAGAGGGAAACCTCAAGGAATTTTAGAACAATGAAGGTCTGTGATTCCAACTTCACTTCCTCAACCTTGTTTTTACTGGCTGGAAGATGTGAGTTAATTGTTTTCAAATAAATTATAATTATCTTTCTATTTTTAATAATTTCCTGTTGTCTATTTTCAATGTGAATTTGACCTCATATTTCTTAATTGTGCTAGCTGAAAATAATTTTGTTTAAGACATTGCTCATGTTGGATTATATAATATCTCAATAGTTGTACTCTCTTTAGCTGATATGGTTGGTTTGTGTTGTTTCATTTGATGAAAGTTTTGCTCGTGGTTTTGAAAATATGATTCCTCCCATTGAATTTGTGTTCCATAGAGACAATTCATTTTGAAAGTTAAATACAACTAATTCATTTCTAATTTATGTCTTGAACCAGACTGAATGTTTTAAAAGGCTAGGGAAAGAATACACGTGTTGGGAAGTGTACATTAGTTTGACTTCTTTCGTTGGTCTGTGCTGAAATAATAATTAAAAATCAACCAAAACATCACGACTATCGAACTATCATTAAAATGACCCCTACTCACCAGTAATGTCTTAAGTTTTAAGTATAGGCTGATTTAGGTTCTGCAGTATTAAAAATAAAATGGTGTTCAGCCTTCTCTTAGTGCTCCTAACACTGATGTTAGGCAAGTCCTCTACTAGTTTCTTCATTTTGAAATATTTTAATACCCGTTTGACCATACCACATGCTCTTGCACAAATTCACTTAATTAATCTATTGTTTAAAAATATTTTTATTATTTTATTTTGAATAATAATTAATGGATATTTTCCTGTATTATTTGGGGCTAAGAACGTTTCTCTCGAAAATTCATTTTCTTGTTCACAAATACAGAATATTTTAGTGATACTCTACGACCTAAAAACAACCAAAGAAAGAAAATAAAAAATATTAAAAATGGATATTATGGATTTCAATTCCTTTGTTATTCTGTGACAGCACTCTTTATTTATGCTTATGTTACTAAAACTTGGGTGAGTAAAGGTTCCCGCTGCTTGCTAACCAGAGTGTATCAAGATTCATTTCCAAAGGTCACTGAGAAATTAATATTAAGCGACCCAAGTGACAATCGATCCCACAACATTCAGAACCAGCTACGCTTGGATCCTAGTCTCAATGTTATCATCTGGCATCACGTCCTCATTTCATCAGATAAGAAACGACCAGGAATAGAATTACTTAATTGGTTGGTCATATGCCAATTCTTCAATATCGCGAGTTTAAAAGAATTTCTTAGGAAAAAAAATAAATGGAGGAAGACTAACTCATATTTATATTTGATTGGTTGTACAGAAAGATATGGTACTGATAGGAATATGGAAGCTGCGGAAATCACATTCTCTATATATAGACTCTGATTGATGTAAATATTCAGTATTTTCTTCTTAATTATATTTCTTTATATATATATATATATATATATTTAACAATACAATATGTTGCCCACTCAGAGTTTAAAACTTCTGTTGTTATGAGTAATTCTTTAATATTCTGATAACATTGCTGATTTGTAATGGTCTGACTGATAACTTATTTTTATTTGTTTAAGCTATGATATGATTAATAAATTTGGCCCTCAATGCATTCTGTGACTTTCAATATAATATTTTTGATATCATGATAATTTTGTACTTATTCCATAGTTACAGGTTTAATTTAGTATCAATGTATCTTCTATGGTTTATTTGCTGGTAAATATTTATTTAAATAGGGATTGCAAATTTTATACTGTTACCTTCTGATAATAATGATGTGATCTATCACTCTGTTTAGTGCTGTGAAGGATTCCCGCTTCTCTCCAATATCCCGAGAGGAATTGACGAAGCTTCATGTCTCAGTTTCTATACTTCGCCATTTCGAGGATGGTGCTGACTACACTGACTGGGAAGTTGGTGTACACGGTATTCGCATCGAATTTCACAATGAAAAAGGAAATAAACGGACTGCTACATATTTGCCTGAAGTTGCTACTGAGCAAGGTAATCACTTGTCTTCCTCCTATTTATACTGATAAATATAAAGAACATCCTTAAATAATACTCCCATTATTAGCCCACGGTTTAGGTCTGCTTGAGAGGATTCCTGGCACAAGTTGATAGTTTTATTTAATTATAGGAACAAAACATATCAGAAATATTATTGTAGATGGGTTCAAATGGGTGGCAAATGTTGTTTACTAATACAACTGAGATATGGTTGTACAAGAGATTCAATACCCTGGGAAGAGTTTCTTAACTGAAGGGAAATACATACTTTATAATAACTATCAGGGATTCTCACTCCTTCCATGACTTTATAAAGTGTACTTATTCTTAATAGGCGTCATAGGTTATGGAAAAGAAATTATTGAAAAACTATCATTTTAGATTCAGGCGGAATTGAATAACTATTGAGCAATCGTTATCTGTCTGGCAAGTAAAGAAAAAGTTGCAGTGCATGGTATAGTCCTCTATCTTTACATCTATTATAAAAGTATGTATGAGTGTAAAGAAAATCATATTTATCAAGAAAGCCGATTGGAATAGGTGACCGTGTCACAATAGGAAACCATACCCTAAAAGGGACTAAATGATCTATCTTGTTCCTATATCAACTACATTTTTTTTGTTCTAATTAAGCTCTATAATATATCTTTCCTATATTAGAAGATATAAAAGATAATTCCTAAAGAAAGGTATTATTTCAGAGCAAGAGTTGAACCCATTCTTGGCCAGTTTGACCCTATTGGGTGAAAATGTTGAAACTATTAAATTAAATATAGTATAAATTTAACAGAATGCACAGTTATACACAGTTGGCAAAAATAATGATGGACTCTCAAGATTTTGGGTATCTTAATGAAAATGTAAAAATGTTTGTGAAATATCCAGTTTAAGAATCTGATCTGAGTTTTATGATATCTAAATGAAATGGAATGAAATAATAATTATCAAAGTAAAGTTGAAGACTGGAAACTTATTGATCTGTTGCTAAGTTACTCAGTGCACTTATTACCCAAAACGTTCTGCACATTCGAATTAAAAAATTGTTACATTCATACTTTTGTTTACAGAAGTGAAACATAGATACTTGAATTAAAATAAGATAGCCTGAAGGTTTTTGAAAAAGAAAATTATGTTGAATATTTTTCTTGAAATAAAATGTCAGTTGCAAAATTTGATTTAAATGGTTTTACCTAACTTACATCATTTGCACCTGAGTTTATTGACAAACACTGCAAAACCCTGTGAGTGTGAAAACTATAAGTATACATCAGACAAAATAAATCGTTCGTTTTTTAGTTCATGATCTAGATTTAGCATTCAATTTCTATTTCATACTTGACTCAAAGATGTGGTGTTTTAAATAATCCTATTGGCTTTTATTTCTGAATATGCGCAATGCCACAATTTACTAGAAAAACTCCAAACCATACTACAAAAATTGTACTACAGATTTTTTTAGCATAGCTGTCGATGTATTCTTTAAAATTACTGAGTTTGGATAATTTATGTGATCACACGTAAAAATTTTATAATGTTTGGTTTTATTATTGTTTCAGGTTGGGACCAGATACAGACTATCGATTCTCTTTTAAGGAAGGGGGGATTCCGTGGGGTGGTGACACCTGACATTCGACGTGGGATCAAGTTAACCCGTTACACTTCAGAGAAGGTGACTGCTGGCTACGCAGAGTATGCCACCGCCTGGAGGCGGGGATCCTAGCGTCGGAGGTCCGGGGGGGCCCGCCCATGGGGTACTGGCCAACCTTCATAATGTTGTTTTGAACTGTCTCAGTTGCGGCCTCCACCAAATTGCCGCCTACATTGTTTCAACATTTAAACTTTCGCTGTTATCATCAGTCATATCCACTCTCAAGAAGTTTGTAGGCAAAGCAGATAACTGATAGCTTTGTCCCTATCCCCACCACATCATGATGTGTTCCATTAAGGGCTGAAGATTGTTGATATATGCAAGAACTGTTCTAATAGGTGCTGGTTTTATTCTTATACTTTTTAATGTATTGATTTCTAATTATTTATCTTTTCCAAGATAAAATTTTATATAAAAGTATAAATTTTCCAGCAACTTGGCATTTATAGTATTCGAAGAAATCAGTTTCTTATTTTATCAGCTCTTGTATATGAGAAACCTAACTTTGTAAAGTACAATCACATGATTATTACTTTAATGGAAGAGGTAAATTGATTTCATTTGACATTTTTAATACATTCAATATGGTTTTAAGACCTTTAATTCACTGTTTTAAACATAGTAATCGTACTTACTGCAAATGGTATTTTACTTAATTTTTAGTTTTAAAATTTAATTTAATTTTTATTAAGATATATCTAACTTTTTTTTCTGGTTACAGTTTGTTTTTGTTTATTAGATTAAATATTTTACTTTTTCTACTAGTTTTTAACAAAATTTTTTTGTTTAGTTAAAAAAATAAAAGAAATCACTTAGATTAAGTTAGTATTGATATTTTCTAATAATTTGAACTGTATTCTGATATCGGCTATTTTTAAAATAGACTTTAGTTAGATTTATATCTTTTACTACACTATATTTAAATTTTATTATTTTATTTTTGTTAGTTCTACTTTGTTATAATTTATGTTAAATTGAACATAGTTATATAGACAAACTTAATGAAGTTAGGTTGTTTCTTTTTATCTTTTATTTTTTATATCATTGATAGTATAATAACACCCGTTTAATAACACCAATGATTATGATATTGCCCCTAATCATTAATCATCTAAAAATAATCAGTCGTTACTAAAAATAAGTCAGTTTTCCATTAATTAATCAAACATTCCTTCGATAACTTGCTCTTAGAGATTAAAGACTTGGTTTGGTAATGTCAGTTGGTTTTTCTAAAAGGTTAATGTATATTTAAGATTCGTCTAATTACAGTTGAATGAAATTATGTGGGCTAAGAAATCCCCTCTCCTATAACATTTTAAAAACATGTACAAATAAATAAGAGCTAGCTTTCTGTTTTTAGAAAGTTCATTATGTACGTATATTACATCTGTATTATAATATATAAATGTCATTGTCGACATTTTCGAATGTAGGTTTTTCATCATTTTCTCTAATGTATTTTAAAGATAAAATCGAGTATATATTATTATAACTGGTTAAAAATTTAATCTTGTCCTCTGCTCTGTTCTGTTCCACAATAGCACTTAGTGTAAAACATCGAAATTGGTAGAAAGACAAAAAATTAAATAAATAATATTAATTTTAAAATGATCCACAAATGGTCAGAGGATCGCTAATCCTCAAAAAAGTCTGAGCTCAATCCAGTTATAAATACCTCAAAGACTAGACAGTCATTTAATAATCAGATATTTGTCTAGCAAATAATGTAGGTTTAAGTAAAAGTATTGGGTTACTGAAGTGGCTTATAATCTTCTTTTTCAATTTTCTAATAATGATAGAGTATTGAATGTATATAAAAAGTTCAATCTTAAATGTTTGCGATATTTCTCTAAGTTCTTCTTTTATCAAGACCAACGTTCCTGTTAAAAGAAAATCTGATGTTGGCTTATTTCTATTTGTTACTATTGAAGGCCTAAAATGTTTTTAATTTTGCTTAAGGTAGTTCCCTTTTAGAATGTCAATAATTTGTTTTAATCTAATAATCGTAGAAAGCCACTTCAGACGGTTTCCCAAAACGTTAATGCTGTGACATAAGTAGTATGATTACTGAAGCAGCATTAATTAAGCATTTGTATATGCTATTAAGCGTATGTGTGATAAAAGAATTTGATGATTAAAATCAAATTTTTTCCTATTTTTCATCGTAATGTGTTCACTCACATCCAGACACTTTTCACATTGAAAAATAAATATTGTTATCTAATTGTTTGTATAAAATATAGCTCAAATGATGAAAATAATGAATGCAAATGTATCTTTTATCACCGGTTTCACTTAAACAAATTGTGTTTATTTGTCAAGCCTAATTTTTTTTTTTGTTTTTTCCTTTTCTGTTAAAACTCTAGGAATTTGTGTAATAATTATTCCTATTAAAAATTTTTGAATTTCATATATTGTGAATAATCGGTTATTTGATTGCTAATTAATTGATGTATGTACCTTGTAGCCTGAAGCATTCACATTGTGGTCCTCAATTTTGTGAGGATCTCTAAAGGTACGCAAATAATCAATTTTTTTTTTAGTTTTATATGTCTAGTTTGAATATCTCATTGTTTGTTAGATTAAGTAAATTTTACAACTATTTATTAGGTATAATAAAAAGATGTATATCCTCATCAAAATCCATTTCCATCCTCTTATAATGCGTATACTTGTAAGCGCATATGTAAATAGATACACTTTTCGCCAAACAGATATCAATTTAAAAATGTGGTCTGTGATTTTAGCTCTTTATAACTAGTCATAAATATGGTCGTAATAAACATTTTATGATTAGTGCTGTGATAAAAGAATTTTTTTTCCTCGGCATTATAAATTGTTTCATTTTATGTTTGTTAAATGACCACAGAGTTAGTTGGATTGTGTGTATTGACTCAAGAACTCTTTTTTTACTGATATTGATTGTGTTTAATATTGTTTAAATTTGGCAAGTGGCTGTATTATTGATTAGTTTTATACAAATTTGTTAACCTGCACCATAGAATTGTCTTGCTCTGTCTGAAATGATATAGACAGTTGCTTATTTATTTTAAATGAATTATTTTGGTTATAGATAAAATTATAAAGGAATTATTTTCTTTCATTATAAGAAGAAGTTATTCATATAATATTGTTTGACTTATTGAAATCAAAATTTATTATATATATTTTAATGTTTCAAATAATATCTGTTATATGGAGCAGGTTTATTGTTTCTTTTAATTTTGTTGAACTCTTAATTTATCTTGTTCCGGGCTGGTATTCTCAAATAATGGTTGAATAAATTTTATTATTTAGTACTAGCAGTGCATATGCTTCCATTTTGTTTAAATTAATTTGTCATTAATTATTACACATAATCATAATAATATACAATTTTTTTGTATCAGCCCACTTTGTTTATTATACTTCCTTAATTGAAAAGAAAAAATTAAATAAGAAAGTAAATTGAAGTATAATAGACAATTATATGTTTAGGAGAATTGGATGTTTCTACTTTAGGCTACTCTTTTTAAAACTAGATTGATACAGATAAATTGTTTCCTAAAAATAATTAAAAAATAAAATTTAAAAAATTGCCTTTATATGTAATGAGGATATATGGAAGAAAAAAAAATAAAAAAAAGAAGGAAACATGACTCAATGTGCATGTGAAATAGTTTTGTACTAGAATGCAAATTAATAAATAATTTATTATTATTGTTTATGTATATATTATACTAAGGCATAGAAATAATGGATTTTATAAGGCGTGAATAGTTGAAGTTCGGATACCCGAACCTAGCGTCCATGTGAAAAAATTAAATGCCAAATAGGGATGTTATTTCAGGGTATCAGTTATAAAAACAATTATGTATGTATGCCTAAACATCAATTATGTCTTAATGCTATTCACTGCCAAAACCAAAAACACAACAAAACAAGAAAAATGAAAAAAAATAATTGTATTTCATTTAGTATATTTTATCATTACTTTTTTTTTTTTTTTTTTTCTAACCAACATTTTCAGATAATTTGTAAAATAAGTCTACCAATTGGTATAATCATTGGAACAAGATAATTGGTTAATATTATTATTGTAAATAACAAATCCGTGAAGTGTTATGACTATTGAAATCTTTTCTGCTTGGTGTAATTTCCCGCTTGTAAAAAAAAAAAACATATATAAATTGATGGCATGAAATTATATAAATAAATATGAGTAAAGAGTTTGTTTTTTAAAAAAAGAGGTTTTTCTAAATTTCTTGGTTACTTCTGTGATTTATCCTTCATATTTAATTTTTATCAATTTTTGATATGACAAATATTCCGTAAGTATCCAGTGTTATCCTATATTACTTATTTTTTCAGAGATAATATTTACATATGGAGATAATATTTTTCATCTTGTTCTGAACATTAGGTCAATGAAGTTTTTACTAAAAATTTCCTCACTCGATTGCTTTTAAGAGGCTAGATTTATTTATTTTTTTCTATAAGGGTTGTTACACCTTCAGTTTTAACATAGTGGGAAATTTTATTAATCCTTTATTGCTCCTTATTTGGATATTCATTTGTGTAGTTTCATCAAGGTTGAGATGAAATTGTAGATTTATATAAAATATGAACACTTATATAATTATCGTTAACTTTTGTTGGCTTTACAAACAAATCTTGTAGATGTTAAGCGGCCACCTGAAACCAGTCTTCTCCATCTCTATCCACCTTGGGATACCATTTTCCAATTAGCTCCATGTAGCCCTGTGCCGTATTTTTTTTACTCATTCTGTCCAGATGGTTTTGAGTTGCCCTCCCATGTGGTCTCTAGTCAGTGATTATGGTATTCATTGTTGTAGTGGCTTCCTTGTAGATTGCATTGAACTGCATGTCCTGCCCATTTTAACTGCCTTGATTTCATATGAGATATAGACTAACCAGTTTCTCCAAGCAGTTCTTTATTGGTCTATCTCCTCCATGTGTTTGTATTCTGATTCCATATTTCTCCAATTGTCATGTGCAGGACTTTCCTATGAAATCTTCCAATTCTTCTTTCTAGGATGCTGGTTAAAGTCCAGAAGTGCTGGAACTATATC